GCGCGTGTATATGTATGTATGTATGTATGTATGTATGTATGTATGTATGTATGTATGTATATTATATGTATAGGTGTATGTATAGCTATAGCTTGTATTGATGTAAATATGCATATACATATAGATACAAATATTGATATAAGTATAGATATAAATATGACTACCAATACACATGTAAATATACAAGTACTATTTCTAAACGTACACAATGTATATATATATATATTTATGTACATAATCCTCCTGCGCGACGAGGTCTGGAGACGTCCAAATCCTTCATGCGCTTTTGCAAAGCCCCGACCTTGGCATCCACCTCCTCTCACAAAGTGCAGTTGGACGTCCTGGGAAATTCTGCCGTCAGGAATCCACTGCAGTGTCCAAGCGAACAGACTTGCCCTTTCCGCAGTCGCACCTCAAAGGCTGCGGCGCTCAGTGAAGGTGCTTGCACTCCGACTACTTCAGACTCTCACCCGGGCCCTGGATCCAGGAATTCAGATCTTGTGCTCGTTCGGGACTATCACCTCGATGCGCGCCCGGGCCAGAATAGAGCTCCGTGCCAGGAGCTTGGCCCAGCTTCCGATTTGCAGCTCAGCTCAGGATTGGTGTTCAGCCCCATTATCCACTCGATGCTTGGCTAACTGAACCAGATATGTGGGGAAACATCACGAGAGGAGAGTTGGAGACGGAGACAAACGATGGGCGTTCGAGCGTTGAGTGGCACGAGGTCCGTCTACTCTGAGCTTCGTAAGAGCATCAGAGCCTATCACGGATGTATGAAAAAGAAGATGTTTCATGACCCGTCTAAGTAGTAGGAAGTTCATGCTGCGGCTGAGTAGTGGGAAGTTCATGCTGAACACAGGGTTTGTGACCACGCGGGTTCTTCTTGTATAGCAAGGATGATCTGCCCTTTGCTTGGCGGCTTCTTTCTGGGCACGCGTGGCCTCATCTGGCTTCTGTCGGGCATGAATGTGCTGGCCAGGCACCCAGAGCAAGCTCAGAGAGAAATGCGCCAATGTGCTAATTATTGCTACAACCGCCGTCACTATTCTGACTTGCTATCAGCATTGTCACTGGTATCACGTTAGTTTAAAAATAATAATAATAGCAATAATATTGATAATAACAATAATATCAATACAATAATAATAGTAGCTATGATAAGATTGAACCCGTTTCTCCTCCCAGGGGATGTGCCTCAGCCTCTTCCTGATCAACTCTGGCCAATCTTGGGTCTCAGCAAGGAAGTACGTCCTCTTTGGTCACTTGAAGGCGCCTCTTGAAGGAAGGGTTTAGAGTCTAAGTTTTAGGCTTTAGGGTTTAACTTTTAGGCGTTAGGGTTTAGAGTATAGGTTTAGGCTTTAGGGCCAAGCGTCCTAGCTTGCCCCCTCTGTCAGGCAGCCGACGGCACAGCCATCGGACCCGACTCGGCTCAGTACGGCTACCTCGGTGTAGGCCGAGCCTGCCATCTGCAGAAAAGCAGTGGCTTCTGGGGGAGTCTTGGGCCTCTTGGGCAGGTGAGATGATAGGAGGTCCCCTCGAAGACACCAGCGGCCCTGCTCTAAACAACTTTGTGAAGCCTCCTGGCATCATGTATTTTTTCATGGGAGGGACACATCCATGATCCATCGTGCCCAGCAAACAGCTTTTCTGCAAGCATCCTAGGCTTGTAGCGGTTTTTGCCTTCATCACTGGTGGCCATGCGCTCGGTACGGCTCAGCCTTAGCAGCACCCAGCCATTCCTTTGCAGCCAGGTCTCTATGTCCTTTGGCAGCACCTGTATTGCATCCGGCGTTTCTCCTCTGGCGTCCCGAGATGAGAAACCCTACTATAATATACTATACTATAATAGAATATAACATACTATACTATAACATAATATGCTAGAATATAATCCTGAAATTCGGCTCCATGAACTCGATCCAAGGAGAACGAGCCAGACCAGTGGCGGGCCTGCAGTTGTAAGGGACTTTCCGCGCAGCAAGACTATGGTCATGTGGCCCCACTATCCCAGGACTTGGCACTATGGCTTCCTCTGCTTGTTCGGATCATTCATCCTTCTGGCCCTTGCGAGGCCAAGCAAATAATACCAGTAACAGTAAGTATAGTAGTAATATCAGAAAGAATAAGAACACGAATAGGGATAGTAGTTAATGTATTCGTGTCCTTGTTCTTCTTCTTATCATTACTTCTCCAAGGGCTTGAAACGACGATGAGCGCACGGTTGGGTCTGTTCCAGGTGCATCCTGTCTTGCATCTTGAACTGCATGACAAAGTATTCGGAGCAACGCGCGGGACCAAGACGAGTTTGCCACTTCGTGAAGTCATGCGCAATAATTACGAGCCACTGAGACTGAGCCTCAACGAATAGATGCCGAGGCGAACTCCAAAGATTGCGGAAGCTGCAGTGAACTCAGAGTGGCTCTAATCCCCAAGTTCATGACGAAGCCCCAGCGTAGATTCCGAGTAAACCTAAACCTCTAAACCCCAAACCCCTGCACCCTAGATTGCCCCACTCCCCGTTAAAACCCTAAACCATAAACCGGAACTCCTCGCCAAGGCATGTCCGAGTGTGAGTGCTGAAACCCTAAACCGGTGCCTTTAAGTCTAAGAGCTCAGCTATCGAGGCGGGAGCTGGAAAGGCTCCAAGAGCAAGGCCGGAGTTGAGCTCACATGGGTTTAGGGGTATAGTTGCAGTTTAAGGTTTAGGGTTTCGGCGTATAGTTGCAGTTTAGGGTTTAGGGTTTAGCGGTATAGTTGCGGTTTAGGGTTTTGGGTTTTGGGGTATAGTTGCGGTTTAGGGTTTAGATATAATTGCAGCAGAGTCTGGGTTCAAAAGGTATAATTGCTGATTGGCCGAGTTTGGGTTCAAACTAGGTATACTATCTAAACGGTAGTGTATCAGATGCAGAATATCGTTAAGGCAATCCTAGCAGGTGAAGGCGACGAGGAAGACCTCGACGATGATGCCGCTCGGATGGCTGTCTGCTCTTGCCCGTCCTATCTGCTGCTTTGACTGTTTGATGCGTCCTTGCCCGAGGAGGAAATGGCCATCACAGCTGGGATGTGATACTGATACTAGCACTGGGTCAAGCGAATTCGCATTCTTCGCCGTGGTGTACAGCAGCACATGCTGCCACGGTTGTACACAGGAGACTTGCACCGGATGGGGGAAAGAGGCAAAATGTCGACCTCATCCCGCGTGCACGTTAATGACCAGGAGTGGCACAGAAAGGGCGCTTCCGTTGTGAAGGCACGCCTTTTTCCGTTCCACTGCGTATCAAAAACTGATATGCGTAGTTTCGTTGTAGTGCACACGTACCGAGCCCCAAAGAGAATAAAAGTGACAGTGTAAGGACAGCGGGTGCTTCATGTTTTTGTCTGCAAGCCTTTCATGCCTATATGCATCGCTGATAAGGATGTGACAGAAGATGACTCGCAGCCCAAGTACCACATCCAGCCAGAAGCCATGTACAGCCGGGGCGCGCTCTTGCGAGGGATCCATGTGGGAGGATGAGTATATTATACATAACATATTACAGTAACATAGCATATTAGTATAGTATGTCACAGTTTTTCATTGTACATTATAATTAGTATATTCTGGTATATTATAGAGGGTCTGTCTGCTCAGGCCCAGGAGCCGTCTCCTCTATGACATCAGTTATGAGCGGAGCATGCCAGAGCCGCCGGTGCCTTACCTTTTTGGCCTCAGCCTGCGCACGCCCGTTTCTGGATGTATGAGCGGAGCTCCGGCGCTGTTCTGGAAGCATTATGAGCCCAAAACCCTAAGGCTTATAGGGTTTAGGGTTTAGGGCCCTAAGCTTAAGCCTTAAACCGTGCTGAGCGACTGTGGGAGTCGAAAGCCGTGCTGAAGTGTGTCTGTGTTCCGGCGTTGATTGCCTGACCGAGGGAAGAGCGCACAGTGATCAGCCCTGGTCCTGTCCAGTGTCTCGGCTTGAGAAGGTCTAAGCAGGCAGATCTTTTATCTGTCTTCCACACCCGGCCCACCCACTCACCTTCTCTCTCTCTCTCCCTCCCTCCCCGTCTCCCAGTATAAATGTATAAATGCACACATACATGCATGCATACATACATGTAACGTGTATGCTCAACATGTGCGATCCCAGTGTAGTGATGGGCCTAGACTGCCCTGCCTGAGGTTCGCAGGACCAATTGCCAATCTGAAGACGCGGACGACTGCCCGGCCGTGTTCGTGTCCAGCTGTATCACTGAATCCATTTTCTTAGGAAGCTTCCTTCCAAACTGCGCAGTTTGTCCAAAAACCATTACTCCCCTCATTAAAAAAAACCAAGCAGCCAGGTTGTGTATGCCACAAGTTCAACGCGTCAAGCAGATGGCCGGGAGCTGATCGAACATTGAAATGGTTTAGGGTTTCAAAACGTCCAACTCAGAGCCCAGCTGAAGCTCCAGCGTCTAGGGCTTAAGGCCTGCGTTTCGGCGCCGACTAAAGTCTAAAGCCCTAAAACCGCAAAGGCGCCAACTTACTATTGAGCAGTTAGACCCTGCTGGGCATCTCGTGATCTTTTTGGGGTTGCCCATCTGGGACAGCTTAGGTTTTAGGGCTTAGGCATGGAGTGAAGGCGGTGCTGACGGCGAGGCCCCAGGCCAACCAGCAAGTGCAGCAGACCTGTCAAAGGGCCTTCTGGCCGTTATATTTCGTCCCTAGCGGCTCCATTACTACGGTTTAGGGTTGAGGGCTTAGGGAAATTGCACCAAACCCGGGGCAAACCTAGCTGGGGAGTTCGCCAGGAAGGCCATCGCAGGAACTGCTAGGGCCGAAAGGCCGTGCCATGTGCCAAGGCGCCGCCTAGGCTGAGAGTGCTGGTTATGGTGGGAGGTTTCAACCCAACCCTAAACTCTAAACCCCAATCATCTAGAACATCTTCTGATCTGAGAGTTCTCACGAAGTTTCAGTGCAACACCTCATCTAGGTCGCCCAGAATTGCCGTTTTGATCTGAGGTCTGCCCCTGGGAACAAGAAAGAGTAGGAGAAACGGTATCCCTCTCTTGAAGGCGTTACTGAGGAACCTAGTCACGCAAACCTTTAAACGGCCTAAGCCCTAAGCCCCAAACCCTAAACCTTAAACCCAAATCCGACACCCTAAGCCCTAAACCCTAAACCCTATTAAACCCTAAACCCAAGCCCTAACCCCGAGTAGGCATCCCGCCAATTAGCCGACCTCTCTCAGGCCATCTGCGAGGACCGGATGGCACGCCTCAAAAGCAAGGCCGCGGGCCTCTTCTGGTGTACTCCAATGGTTCCTTTGAAGTGGGTGCCCATCTGAATCCGGGGGTGCCTGTAATCATGGTCCCTCGAAATGGGTGCCCGGAATGGGTTCCTTTCCTTTCAGGGGTGCTAATTTGGGGTTAGGGGTTTTTTTGGGGGGCTGCCTGGGCTCGTGAGGGAAGCTTTCGTACCTGAGGTGGTGGCTGGCTGCCCACCCGAAGTCCTCAAGGCCAGGCATTGACTTGAACAGTTGATACTGGCTTGGTTGAACGTTGTTGGTATTATAACAGATGACATCAACCAATCGCTTGTTTTCAAACCAGTTGGTGATGTTACGTGTGCATCCTTGGTATTGTCTCCTTGTCCTTTTCCTTGTTCTTGTTCTTCTTGTTCTTGCTGTTGTTGTGGTGGTGGTGGTGGTGGTGGTGGTGTGCATACAGGGGTTTAAATTCGAGCCGAATTCCATCTGCATCTGTAAAACGACTAGATTTCTTACTTGGGTTGGGAAGGGTCATAAGTACAATCTTATTTACGACCCGAAGACAAAAACCTATATAAACCGTCGATTGGGCGAGCATCCTCGACCTCCAAGCACGGCGAGAGGAGAGAGCGTCCTGGAATGCGGACAGCTTCCTTGCTTGCAGAGTTCAGCCGTGTCTTTGTCTTTGCAGCATGACTGTTCAATGCAGAATGTATCGTGTGCACCAAAGCCATCAAAACTGCGCCAAGATTGATCACTTTCGCAGGCAGTCAACATGTTGCTCAAGGGTGGAGTGGATCTACTGAGACAGCTCTGAACGGCGACTTGCAGGGGCCGTCTACGTCCAAGCCTAGCTAGTTAGTTGTTTGTTTCAAGAGTCCTCCTGTTCCATGCTAGCAAGCCGGCAGACTCGGAGGAATAGGTCCTGCACAGGACAGGCACAAAATTCCGTGAATGGCATCACGAGCGGCTTGAGTCAGGTGCACGGGTTGCGCACAGGATGTGGTCCTGTTGTTCAAACTAATCAGATTCCCAAGCTTGCAGCTCGCTTCTCAGCCCCGGCCAACATCATAATCCTGTAAGCCTAATTATTTTGGCCCTGTGGCTTGGGTAGGGATATGTAGGAGAGCCTGTCGCCAGCTCGGAGAGAGCGATTCAAACAGAATTTTCCTGCAGCCGCACACTGCCTCAAAGTGTCTCACGGAGATCGCGCAGTAGTGCGCAAGTGCAGCAGCAACAGAAGCAGATTTTCCCAGCCGCATAAACGCATGCAGTGCAGCATGTAGACAGCCTAAACGCCAATCGTCGGGCTACACCTGGCAAAGTTGAGCCCCCAAATTGGGCTTC